CTCCTCTTCTCCTTTTTCTTCTCTTCCTCCTTCCTCCTCCTCCTCCTTCTTTTTCTTCTTCTCCTCCTCCTCCTTCTAGAGCACTCGCTAGGGGCTATATTTTAAAATAAAGCAGAGGTTCCAATTCTAGTCCATCTTCTGCTTCCTGGATAAAGAACTCAGTTGGGTTCTTGAGCAAACCTGGAGAGGGGGAGTGGGGGCACAGTCCCCATCAGTTGGGGAGGGGAGGGTCTTGTCCCGGAGCTGCGTCCGCCTTCTGTGCAGGTGAAGGATCGGATTGCAGGGGGGATCGGGTTCTGCCTGCCCCTGCCCTGGCTCTCCAGGAAACCCATTCGCCAGCTGTGGGGAGAGGGTGGCCTGAGGGCTTTGGCTTCTGCCCAGAGACCCCCAGCAGCCCAGACCGCCTGTCGACCAGCAAGGGGGAGACTCTCCCACTGAACAGCTGATCATTGGGAGGGAGGAAGAAAGAAGAACTACCTAAGCGAGTCACTGGCTGGGGGAGAAGGCAGTCAGCGATGTCTTGCATGCGCGATAGGGACTGGCTAGGAGGGGAGGGGCGGGCGGAGAGGGCTGGGGCACGATTTGCCAGTTCTCTGAACCGTGCAGAATCATAACAACCGGTTCTATAGAACCAGTCGGAACCAGTAGGATCCCACCCCCGTATTCCCTCCCTCCCTCTTCTCTCTCTCTCTTTCTCTCCCCCCTGCTTATTGATGGGTCTCTTTGCAGCCGGGGCTGGGGGCTTTGCTTGGATGATCCCCCAGCCAAGGATGTGATCAACTTCCCCTCGGTTCCACCGGGAGTCCTCTATGACGTCAGCCACCAGTGCCGACTCCAGTATGGCGCCTACTCCACCTACTGCGATGACATGGATGTAAGGAGTGGGGGGGGCATGACGCCTTTGGGGGAAAGCCTGTCCGAGGAAGAGGGCCTATCTCTGGCCAGAAGCGTTTCTGGAACACCCAGGGGGTCGGCCAAGGACTTTGGTCACCTGAAGATTCTGTGGACAAACCTTCAAGCCGAGGTCTCCAACCTTGGCCCCTTTAAGACTGGTGGACTTCAACTCCCAGAATTCTCCAGCCAGCACAGGAGTTGGAGTCCACCAGTCTTAAAGGGGCCAAATTTGGGGACTCCTGACTTAAAGTGACCAAGGCTGAGAAACCCTGGAGCAGAGAACATATGATGCATGGATTTCTACACCTGCTGTTGCCTTTAAAAGCTTGCAAAAATGAATTGGAAACATTTCTTGAATTAAATTGCAAAAACTGTCCGTATTCCAGAGAGCAGCAGGGGACAGAAGCCTCCCACCCCCAAGGCCTGGGTCTGTCCGGAATACAGCCACATTTTCCTTAGCAAGGACGGCCCGAACCCTCCTCCTCCTCCTCCTCCTCCTCCTCCTCCTGCCCTCTGCCCACTGGAAGAGGTGCCCTGGCACTGCTTGCTCCTCCTCCTCCGTGCTGCTGCTCAGCCTCCCTGCCCAGACCACGAATTCAGAGCGTTTCCTTTCTTCCCACAGAGTGTCTGCAACACCCTCTGGTGCTCTGTGGGCAACACCTGTCACTCCAAGCTGGACGCAGCTGTCGATGGCACCAAGTGTGAGGAGAACAAGGTACGGAGCCCATCTCTGGGCCACAGAACCTCAGCCCCGAAGCTGCTCCCCAAACGCCATTTTTGGCTAAAGCATGCCACGACACAGTGGTGGGATGCCAAAAGTTTTACCACCGGTTCAGTGGACGTGGCTTGGTGGGTGGGCTTTCAACTCACCTCCTGCCAGCCTGCTCTCTCCCAGTTGCTTCAACAGCTGCCACGTGGCACTCTGCTGCGCCACACAAAGCAGCTGCATTTCGGAAGCAGGGAACACAGGTGAGTATGAGAGCCCGGGCAGAACCAGGCAGAACCGGTAGTGCCCCCGCAGGGAGGAAGCGTCTGATGGGCCCTTGTCTTTGATGAGGGAGGGGTGTCTTTTAAAAGGCAGCTGCTACTTTCCTCTCCTCGGATGTTCGGGGGGAGGGCATTACCACGCCAGCCATTCTTGCATGCAACTAGTTTCCTTGAGCCCTTTTCAGGACAGGCTGCTTGCCCACTTGGGAGCTACTGGAAGAGAGAGAGAGTGGGATGGAGCAGGGTGGCAGAAGGCCAACCCGTGGCTCTCGGGCCAGCGTTACGGTCCTGGCTGATGCCTCCTTCTGGATGGCTGCCTGACTCAAGCTGGCAAGTGGTCCCCCCCCCCCCCCCCACTTCTAGATGGCCAGTCCCAGCGGGTGGCAACATTTTGGGCATTTCTGCTGTTCTCTGCAGCCCGATCTTCATCTCAGGCCTTTGGAGGCAAGGGCTGCTTTGCTGGCTTCACCCCTGGCAACAAGGGACCGTCTGGATAGGCAGCTTAGCAGGATGGATGCATTTGGTGTCTTGCAAAGCAGCCTCTTTTTAGCCCCCCCCCCCCCCCCCCCC